GTGTCCAAAACTGGATATAGTACTGTAGGTGAGGCCTCACCAGCGCTAAGTAGTGGAAAATCACTTCCCTTGACTTGCATGCAACACTTGTGTTAATACATCCCAGAATGCTATTACTTTTTCTGAAACATTAGTACACTATTACCTCAGATTCAGTTTTTGATCCACTATAACCTTTCCTCAAGTACTGCAACCTAGGTAGTCACTCTCCAATTTGTATTTACCTTGATTGTTCCATATTAAGTGAGCTACTTTGTTCATGTAGGAAACCTGCAGCAGAGCAGGAAATGTACCTGCAACTTCAAAATCTTAGGTTAGTGCCAAAATCATTTCCTTTTCTTTCAGCTCCTTCCAGTCTCACCCTCAGTTGCCACCCTTTGTTCACTGAAAAAGAAAATAAGGCCTCTTTCACCTATTCATTAGTCCTCTCAAGGAAGGAAAAAAGGCATAGCATTTTTCCTTCTTTTTCAAGTCCCCTTTAATTCCCTTGCATAAGAATTTAGAATTTTATAAGGTGGGGTTTTACTTTACTTTCTCCCTTTTAAACAGATGCTAGGTAACAGTTATTCAGCATTTATCACAATTATGCAAGAGAAAAGTCTGTTTTTTCAAAATAAATATATTTTTGTGTACAAAGAGATCAAAACAAAACCCTAATAAAACAAAGCACTCCCCTACACATACTGTTCTCCCCTCCGGGTGAGGATAAAAGAATGAACAAACCTCATAGGATAAATGTTAGTCACATCGCTTAAGGCACTACCTGATGATGCCCACCTTGTAAAACAGAAGAACAGAAGAATAGCAGAAACTATGAAACATAGAATTCAATAGAATGTTTTTTAAAGAATGTATTCTGAAGTATGACATCTCTTTGTTCCCTTTGTGCTTGCATTCCTTCCTGGGACACAACAGGATATTTAAGCATATGTAAAGAGATAAAGTCACTGCGCTCTGATGCTGATCTAAGTTTTTTGTGGATGTAGCAAATAGAACCTTTGACAGTATGTTGATGATTTTCACTTATTTTGCTTATTCTATATATAGGATAAGGGAAAATATATTTGGAGAGGACAGTAGATGAGAGGAATAGAAATATTTCTGATACAGGTAAATAAAAGAAAAGAGAAGGGCCTGAAGCTTGATGATACTGGTGCCATACAAAGTTTAGATCCTACATTTCTTAAACAGACAACAGAGCACAATGTATGCTTTTGTGTACATAAAGGAAGTAGCTTCTAAATAGCATGTACAATTTTAATCCTAATTGGCCTGGATACCTACCCCTAAAGCAAATATATAGCACCCAACTGATTTTTTATAGGTATTTGTAGGTATTGTAAAAATTAACATAATGTCACATTGGAATGCACCATCATGGTATGTGCCAATTATGTTTACAGCTCTAGTTAGAGTCCTGTGGAAGGACAAAGCAAGGCCAAAATACAAACAGTCATTTGGATATGGGTAACACAATCTACAACCCTACCATTGTGCCATTGAGAAGACAATTCTTATAGCAGTACTGTTGTTGTATATGATGGTGGTGAAACTAAAAATTCAGACGTTATCCAACTTCTGTAGTCATATTTTTACAAGATGTGTAACTAACAATATGAAGATCTTGGTATCAGATACTTACAAGATTGTATTCAGATATGATAGAGCAGGGGTGGGCAAAATATGGCCCAGAGGCAGAATGTGGCCCACTGAGGGATTTTGCCTGGCCCACAGCAGGTCCCTCAGTCCTGTCTGGTCCAATGTTGAGGGGAGCCCTGGCCGTGACACATGCAGCTGGTCCTGCTGCCCCTGGATGCGCAGTGGGGCTGGGGTGGCACAGGGCCTGAACCCCATTTCCTGGCAGCCCTAGCAGTGGCAGCAGCTCCTTTCAGCTGCCAAACCCATCCCTGCTGCCTGGGCACCCCGGCCCCTCCTCCCTGCACCCACTGCCAGGAGCAAGACCTACACAGGCAAGGCGCTCACCCAGGCTGCTGGGATGGGGCCGAGGTAGACAACAGCATCCAGGAGCAAGATGGGAGGCGGAGACTGGGATACACCAGGATCACAGGGCATTGTCAGTACAGGGCTGAGACCAGGACTGCCTATACATCCCTGTGACAGGTGCAGGTTGTGCCCCTGTGTGGTCACCCCTTCCCCTCAAGATCCTGGACCCAACTGTAGACACAGCTCTCAGCCCAGCTGTGGCCCCATGGGGCCATGACAGCGTATGGCCAGGCCTGGGGCAGAGCCCTGGATCTGTGGGCAGGGATGTGCAGAGAGTGGATCACGAGTCTGCCCTGGCCCTGCCGTGTCACTGCTCTGCAATCATGGGGTCTCCATGGAGACTGGCCAGGAGCCAAACGAGCAGGATGGGGCCATGGCCAGGCAGGGAGCTGCATTTGGGGTCGGGTCCAGGATTGCTGGGTGGTGACAGTGTGGGACCGGGGACAAGCCATGATCCACTCCCTGCATGCTCCTGCTTGTGGAACTGGCATCCATGGCAGGAACTGGTGCCCTGCGACTCCGCCCTGTGATCCTAGGCTTGCCCGCCTGTTCTGCTCCCAAACACCACTCTCTGCCCACCCATGGCCCCATCCCACATAGGGAGTTTGGGTGAACAGTTGCAGGGGGTGAAATGGGAGAGGGGGCTGATCTGGCCTGTGACAGCTCAGTAAACTCCCTATGTGGTCCACAGGCCCAAATAATTGCCCACCCCTCTGACAGAGTCAGTCATATACTACAGTCTGTTAAGATATAAAAGTAAATGTGGAAGTGTTATGTTTTCATTTTACTCTGGTTGACCACTGTTTTATTGCTCTTGTATCTTAATTGATACTTTAATATTAGGGCAAGATCATCCAGTTCATCAAAATGACATTCACTGGTGATAAAAGCAGGCTTGTGCTGTGCAACCGCACCCATTCACAGGGAAAGCATAAACAGAATGGCCAGGAGTTATTCTTCATATGCTGGGGAAGTGGTCTTCGCACAGTTCTGCACAGGCTAATGTGCAACAGGCCCTGAGGTGGGCAAGAGATGGGTATTGGATTCATGACTACACATTTCCAGTAATGCTCACTGTATGTTAAGTGCTAGCGGTCACTTTTCCCACTCATGAGTTGGAAAAGAAAGCATGTAGGGGCTATGTTTTAGATTAGCAAACCCCAGACAGGATAATGAATCAGTCTCACATGGGAAACTGCCCCCACAATATCAAAGAAGAAGGATGGTCCAATGATTAAAGCACTAGCCACAGATCCAATAAACTATTGTTCAGTGTATTGTTCTGCTCCAGACTGTGTGTGAAACCATGGATATATGGTCTCTCGGCTTCAATCCCCATCTGTAAAGTAGGAGAATAATATTTTCCTACCTCACAGTACTGTATTAAAGAGAACTACACTGAAAAAATTATGAAGTGCTCCTACTGTATAATAATGGGGGCATGTCCATTAATGCATGTACAGATACCAAGTCTGGCAGGCTGTGGCCTATTCAATTCATGCATTCAGTCATTTGAAGGTAATTGGGAAATGATGTGATGCCACCACAGTAATATGTTGTTTCAGTTACTTACTCATTTTACAGCTACAGTTAGAGTTCTGTGGCTGGACAAAAGAAATCCTAAATACATTACAGTAATGCACACAAATTACACATTCTAGCTCAATATATGGCCCACAGAATGCCTTTACGTGCTTCAGTATTTATTTGTGATATCATGTAACTACCTAAATTGAGAGAGATGTGCAAGACTCCTCTTTGGCAACTCTTGACATTGTTGTTATTGAAGAAAGAGAGTAAAATGATCTAATATAGTACTTTTTCATTTGATTTAGATTCTTCCCCAAAAAGCCAAATGCGGCTTACTTTTTTCTTCATAAAATAAATTATGCACTCCCTCTAGTGTCAGAAATTGTATATGAGCATAAACCACATTTGATCAAGTATTGCTATAAATGCTAAAGTAAGGTTCAGTTTCCTCTCTCCACATGTCAAGGTTAATAAGTTGTAGTAATATATAAAATTAAAAACAGGCTTACATGCAGTGCCCCGCTTCTGCAGTACTGTGGCAATAGAAAAAAATATTATTAACCTGTAAAATTAAATAAGTGCTTGTCTTATTTATAAAGCCCATTCTTTGATTAGTGGGGAAAGATTTTTTTTTGTTGCTGTTTGTAAGTCCAATCCTAAATTACAGATCTAAAGCTAAAGGAACAATGTCTCAAGTGCCAGAAGAGCTCTTGGGAAGGAAAACTATCCAAGAATTCCCTTTATGAAATGTATTCTAATTGTTAATCAGAGAAGAAGCATAACCTCCAAGAGACTATGGATCCCCCAAGATTTTATGGATCTTAAGGGATCTCGCAGATATGGTGGTCTAATGCTGCAGGGGGATTGTTGCCTCCATGCCAGCTCCTAGGCTCTGGAGACTCTTTCCTAAGGCTTCTTCCAAATGGTCCATCACAATGGGGGGTTCCATTGTGTGGAGGGGATGCTGGACTAATAGCAGTGGCTTCCTTGGGAAATTGTTGGATACTCATGCTGCTCTGTTGTTCACCCTCATGGTACCTTTGACCTGTCTGTAACCAGCTAGTTCCTGTACTGAGCAGTATTACATCACAGGGCACCCCACTAAAGGGAAAAGCAGTAGGATCTAGGGAAA